TTCCTTGGCCCTGATTGATCTCCCCAGCCCACCCCAATTGCTAACTTCAGACCACCAGCAACTCCTCGTATATTGATGAATATGAGGGACAAAGCACAAATTATATTTGACAGCAGTCAAACACAGTTGTGATTGCCAAGAACTTCCATCTGACACCTCCTTCCTCATAAGGCACTCAACAGGAACTATCATTTCACCTTTAAGACATGTAAGGCCACTCTTGTGATGGACAACTGGATCCCAAAACTTTTGCAGAAATCTCGAATTATTAAAAGGATAACGCTGCTAAATTCAAGTAGGACTGGCCATAGGACATTACATCTTGCATGAACTTCTTGCATACTGGGCGGATTTCTTTGCTCAGAGTGGCAGAGAACATCATGACTTGCTTGTCATGAGGGGTCATCTTGAAGATCTCCTGCACATCTCTCCTCATATCTACATGCCACATAATAAACGCAATAAGTACTCAACCATAGAAAAGATATCAGTAACAATTCCAAAAAAACAGCACAAACTGTACACATACCAAGTGATTCAAGCATCTTGTCACATTCATCCAGAATGAAATGTCGGACATTCTTCAAGGAAAGATCCTTCTCTCTAGCCAAAGCCAGTATTCTACCAGGGGTTCCGACAACAATGTGAGGGCATTCATTTTTCAGAAGATCCTTGTGAGTCTTGATGTTGACACCACCATAAAAGACTGCAACCTTGGTATCAGGCAAGTAGGTACTGAACCTCTCAAACTCGTGGCAGATCTGGAACATCCAATAACAAAACAAACAAGTCTTACTCACTCCAACAACAAGGAACATCAAAAGACAAAACCATTGAAATCTATAAAAATGATGATATACCTGGTAAGCCAGCTCTCTTGTATGACACAGAACAAGTGCAATGACTTGACCGGAAGTTGGCTCAATTTGTTGTAGAGTAGACAGAACAAAAACAGCAGTCTTGCCCATTCCGGATTTGGCTTGACAGATAACATCCATACCCAAGATGGCTTGGGGAATACATTCATGTTGAACTGATGAGGAACGAAAGAAAATCGGACCGAAGGTACCCCTCGTAAGTATACAAACCTTCCCGGATGGATAATTGAAGGGTGTTACCAAACCAGAATAGTGCTCCAAAATCAAGATTATGATAGTTATTTATTACCTGAAAATAAAAGAGAAAGCTAGATGTGAGCCATAAAATGCCATTGAGAAATAAACAGTTAAAAGGATGAGGCAGGAACCAAAGATCCATACGAATGTAACTAACAGACACTGAAATAGCCTCAGACATTAGCGAAGTGGCAGTTCATCTCATGAAAGTAAACCTAAATAGCTCGAAATAATAGGGACTCCACAGAGCCAGTGACCTACTTGAAACATATTGTTAAACATCTTCCCACATCAAAATCTAAGATTGCAAGTCTAACTAGTTAAACATACGAGGTCCCAAACAAATATAACTCGGTAAAAAGAAAGTCTTGCCTTCGGAAGGATGCTCAAAACCAGAATCCACAATTGCCCGAAGGAGCTCTGGCTTCAAAAGGAAGTCTCTGAATCCGGAACTGTGTATTCCAACGTATCCCCTGAAATAAAGACAACAGTAATTGAGAAACTGGTCTCCTAACCAATAGTTGACACAGCAGACAGACTCTACGAAGCTGAAAAGGCGTAATAATCATGCGTAAGGTCATGGAATCAGCCTATCAGATGCTTCAGCAAAGCACTGAAGTAACTTACTTCTTGGCAGCTTCGCCGTTGACTTTGGCAGCGACGGAATCAGGGGCTTTCTCCTCATCCTCCTCGTAATCGATAAGCTCCTCCTCATAGGCATCGTTGTCCCTTGTTTCTCCCATGGTCTAAAATCACAGATCTTGGAAGTCAGTACCGAACAAAGCGAGCGTCAGGCAACAGACAAAGCACACAGATCTAATCCACTTGAAAAGCACGCGACCAATCTATCCAAAGCGACAAACGATTTTGAAACAGCACGTATCACTTTAAATCCGATTAGGGTTTCACTCCTCCCACCGTGAATCAAAAACTAAAAGACCAAAGCGGCGAGATTCAGAAAAATTCGACATACCTGTGAAGCTGCTGTGGGTGAGGAAGGGGGGGTTTTAGGGTTAGGGTTTGGAAGGGGTGTTGAGGGGGAAAGTCTGCAAAGGAAACAGGTTAGCAACGCTACGGACAGAGAGAAATTGAGGGGAAACCAAGCTTTGAGAGATTGGAGACCGGCGAGACCTCAAAATCGGAGTAAATTTGAGATAGGGCTGCGGCTTGAGCTCGATGCGATGATTTATACAAAGTGCCCAGCAAAATCTGGAATGCGTTTTCCTGAAATACCCTTCTTCTTCGTTCTTTATTACGCTTCCTTATGTCGGTCTTGTCGATGGACTTTTTAGATTTTTTGTTCTTCTACATTGAGGCCCGGAATGGGCTTTAGAGAACCCGAGGTTTGGGCTTTGGTTGTTCATGTGCATCCAAGTCCAGGTGAGCTAGAATGTTAATGACCACTCGTAGAATTAGGGGTTGTTTACCTGAGGGTTTTGGTGATGGATTTGGTCATGAAAATATATTAATCATGGACTTGAACCGAAATCCATCGTTTGCCTTAGCGAATTAGGGAGATGGAATTTATGGGGCCCACCTCTTTTGGGGTTCCAAATCTGTGGACCCCACGGATTTGGAAGTTCCACCTCTTGAGGTGGGATTTGGGTGATGGATTAAAATCCATGATGGTAAATTACCTTTCTACCCTTAATTATTTCTTTAATTACAAATTTGTCCTACTTTAATTCAATGGTCATGCAACTGTAAACTTTTATAATTTCGTATTTTATTAATATGAGAATTTATCATTTCATTTTGTAATATCATATTTTATTTAAATATGAATGTATATGTGATTTGTTAGATTCACCTAGAAACACTTTATGCTCATCTTGTACATTATTATTTGATTGATTGTCGGATTCCACATCGGTGAGTTAACAAGAAGATGATGAGTTGTAGCAATAAAGCGAGCAATTGGCTGCAATTGATATATAATATTGCGTACATTATTAGATGAATTGTTAATTAGTGCCAAATTGTAATACATTTCTATATTTGTAGTTGAATTATTAATCCACATAGTGGTAAAGAGTTTAAAATTTCTTTCTATGGTTTGGATTAGTTTTAAATGAAAGATTTGGATTAGAATATAGAAATATAATTAAATAAGGGTAACTAGGTAATTTGTATTTAATATCCACAAATCTAATCAAACAAAGTCCATAATCAAATCTATCAAGCAAACAATAGACTTGTTCAAATCCATAATGCTACCAAATCCATCATATATCCATGGTTTTCCAAAACCCAGGTTTTACCAAAACCCTCATTTTTCAAATCCATGAAGCAAACGACCCGTAAGCTTTTGGTAAAATTTGGGTTTTGTAAAACCATGGATATATGAAGGTTTTAGGTTTATTGTGGTGTTGTAAAATATCATTGTTTGTTTTATCGATTTTATTATGGATTTGATTAATTAGATTTGTGTGTAAGAAGTGAAAATAACTTACATTACCCTTATTGGTATGAGATGAGAAAAATTAAAGGAGGGTAGTTTGGTAATAAATATCATCAAGTCTCACTCTCACCGTGAGAGGTGGAATTTTGAAGTCTGTGGGACCCACATATTTTGGACCCTTAAAGTCTATGTGGCCCACAGATTTGTTGTCATCAAATACATGAAGCAAAGGCTCGTTTGCTTGTTGGATTTGAAAATGAAAGTTTTGAATTTCAAAAACCTTTGGATTTATGATGGATTTGTTGCATCATGGATTTGGAAGAGTACATTGTTTGTTTAGTTGATTTTTTATCATGGATTTGTCTCACATTTTTTCCTTCTATTGTCAAATCCCAAATGAAATGTGGGATTTACAAATCCGTGGGGTCCACGGATTTGGATCTAAAAAATGGGTCCAAATCCGTGGACCCCACGGATTTGTGTCCCTCAACAAACAAAGGATTTGTGTCAACTCCATGATGTTTGGGATTTGGAACATTTGTGTCAACTCCATTTGTGTCAACTCCATCCCAAACATCATGGAGTTGACACAAATCCTTTGTTTGTTGAGGGACAAAGTCCATCACCCACAAGCCACAAGCAAACGACCCCTAGACTTTGGACAAAGTCCATGATATATCCAAATCTATCATAAATCCATCGTCAAATTATGGGGAGAAAAAAATAGTAGGAACTAGGAAGTGATTATTGTTTGGATTGATGACTTGAGTGTGTTCAAATAACATGCATTGTTTTCTCTGAAAGTTAAGCCATAATATCCTCCCTATAATTGAGAATTTGGAAAAGAAGTTAGAAGAGAAGGTGGAACCATTTTGTACCTATTGTGGACAGAAAGAGACTCCTATTGCTTCCTGTATTGTGAGTGGTCCACTCATATATGACGTCAAAGTTTATGGGGTGAAATACTTCCTCTGGACGACGATTGCAGCATAAATACATAATGAAAGTGAACAAACATTCAACAGAATTGTGTTATGGTACCTTAGGATTGAAAGAATAACAATATGCACAATGGCCCAAAGCTTGAGGAGAATGAGGTATTGTGTCACTCTCAAAGTTTTCTACAAACTTATAGAGATATTAAATTGAAGCAAGAGAAGAGAGTATCAATGCTCGATGACCAAGACAAGTATCAAGCTGGAGACCTCCTTTTATGGGTCGGTTGAAAGTGAACACTGATGCAGGAAAACTTAACCAAGCAAGATATGGAGGGTAATTTTTTCATATTGGGAAGTAAAAGTTCGTGTTTGTGGTTGCTGAAAGATTCGAAGCTCGAATGTCCAGTAAAGCAATTAGACACAAAAAAATCTTATTTGATCAATAATGCTGGTTAAAGCATGCTTTCCTACCCGGAGGAAAATACAGGGACCAAGTGCACAATGAAAAAGAAGTTAGGTGCTATTTTACATATTTTCTTAGACGAAATTGCTCTTTATCCACTCCAAAATATGAGAGGAGGGAAATTTCTCATTTTCATCGTCAATGGCTGCCGTCGCAGGTTGTAGCATGGCGCTCCCCATTCCACATTCAGGTAAATAATTGCATTTCTGGCTGCTACCCGTGGAAAAGGAAGATTCTTAACATCAGAATCTCACGCTTTCTCGGCAGGGATTTATACGCAGAGCTCGGGAACTAGAGGGATTCATGGCCTGCAGAGGAAAGCGTCAAGCAGTAGGAGGCGTGGACATTTGCAAGCCTCCAAGGTCTGAAGTTATTTTCATCAACCTCAAATAGTTTGAATTTGCTTACTGGCGGTGAAAATCAGAAAACCCTATTGTGTTCACATTCACAGGCTGCAGGAGCAGATAATCAAGCCCCGAAGCCAAAGAGTGTGATATGCACCGATTGTGATGGAAATGGTAGCCCTCAAGCTTTCGTTGTTTAGAATGTGTGTTTTGGACTGTAAAAATTTTCCACTCTGTTCATTGCTTTTCCCCATTTGCTTATCTTTGTTTTGCAAGGTGCGGTTCAGTGTTCACAGTGCAAGGGTAGTGGAGTGAACCCAGTTGATTTCTTCAACGGTCAATTCAAAGCTGGAGATTCGTGTTGGCTTTGTGGGTAACTGCTTCTAATCATCACAAGAACACCATCTGAGTTCGTGTTGAATTGGGCAGCCATTTTGCTTTGTGCATTTTGTAACTGTAGTTGAATCAAGTGATTTTTTTTTTCAGAGGGAAGCAAGATATGCTATGTGGGAACTGCAATGGAGCTGGCTTTATTGGTGGTTTTATGAGCACTTTTGATGAATAACTGGAGATCGTTTGTGCGACATGAATGAATTGCTCGTTAGAGATTTCAAGTCATTTGAATATCATGTTCAGCCCTTCTGTTGCAGCTTTTGCAACTTGCTGTATGTATTTATGTATGGTCATAATTCATTCAAAGTTGTTCCACTATTACCCCATTATTACATTAATCGATTGTTGAGTCTCCACCAGACGATAAAAGCAAGTAGGAGGAGCTTTTACCAAGCCACCAAATTGCACAGCTATCTGTAGTTGTATTATTTTCAAGGGGAACTGCTGAAGTTCTGATATCTCTCTACAAAGTTCTGGGAAATAGAACCATGATGACAATGTCTGTTATATCTCTATTAGTTTTATTCTTTTATTGTATATGCTGCCTTTTTACTGTGAAATCTAATCTGAAAATGCTTAATGACTCTCCATGAACTTGCTCATCTGACTCTGAAGCAATTGAGTTGCATCAGATTCAGGATGAAACACATGGTAGATGTGTGGCTGATTCTCGGCTTCCACTATTGCCACCTCCTTAACTCCTTTCTTTGCCAAGAACTCTCCGTACATCACTCCCCTCTCCTTCAAGAAATCCAGGCCAGCTACATACACAGTCACGGCTGGGAATGCACTCCATTCAGCAGCAGAAACATCTAGTTGCTTCTCAAAGTTGCAGCCGTAGTAATCACGTGTTAACCCTTCAGGTATGCTTAGTCCCCAGAACAAGTCATTCATTTTCACATCCTCAACTGCATCATCGCAATTTTCCTTTGCAGTCCTCTTCTCACTTCCAAAATAAGGATGTATCATCAACAACCCTTTTACACTAACATGGCGATCTTTGTTCCTGGATGCCTTGATGGCAACCTGGTGTGTGATGTTGGCTCCAGCACTATCTCCAGATAGGAAGATCCGCGAGATGTCAGCTGCTTGAAGCCAAGGGTCAGAATCATAGGTGACTTGCTGTTTCAACCATTCCAATGAGCTGTAGCAATCCTCATAAGCTATTGGCAGGCGGTTTTCTGGTGCAAGGCGATAGTCCACTGAGACGATAATGCTTTGAGATTTGACACAGAAGTCTCCAAGGAAATGGTGGTAGCCCAACCAGGTGGTCGAGCCAATGCAGAAACCACCACCATGGAAGTAGACCAGAACCGGGAGCTTAAGCTTTGACCCTTGGTCAGCTGGGATGAATATCCGAGCAGTTACTGGCTTCGATGGGTCAATCGTAACATCCTTGAACTTGAACCCATTTGGCGACAATGATTCTTCCGAGGAATGAGGGACTGATTCTGGATAGAAGCGTTTGACTGAGCCATCCGAGAACAGCTGGAAGAAGCCAGGTGCTTCTGCAACTATGGACATGTTCAAATGAGGAAGAGAGAACAGTGTTGAAGCATTAAAGTTTTAGATAGACCAAGGAAAAGAGTTGTGTGGATATATAGGCTGGCTGGGGAAACGGGTATGTCAACCAGGCTGTCCTCAAAACCAAAGAGGATGGTTGGTTGTTTGAAGTTGGCTTTAGGTTGCTATTTGGCATCTGTGTTTAGGTTGATCATATGAAGAGTACTGCATTGTAGAATATGTTTTGCTATGAGCTATACAGATACAGTTTAGTTGAGGGGAGCCAAGAGCTCATGCGTACTTCTTGAGAATTTCAAAAGAAAACCAGAAGGCTACCAGGAAAATGAAAACTGGAAAAAGTAAACGCGCCAGATAGGGGTCGAACCTATGACCTTCTGCTTAGGAAACAGACGCTCTATCCACTGAGCTACAGGCGCTTAGTTGTTATAATTTTGTTGCTTTCTGTACTGACGTAATATAAAAGTAAAAACCTTATACTCCAATGTACTGTATGATTATGCAGCAACAAATCGGGTAAATGACACATTTGGTCACTGAGATTACTAAATCGTGTCATATTTAGTCACTAGAAAAATTTAATATCAATTTTGGTCACTCGAATTACTGACACATGTCACATTTGGTCACTCTTCTGTAGCCTCTGTCCAACTCCGGTCACTCGAATTATTGAAAAATGTCACATTTAGTCACTCGTATTACTGAAACATGTCACATTTAGTCACTCGTATTACTGAAACATGTCACATTTAGTCACTCTCCCAAAAGTTTCCGTCCAACTACATTAATGGAGTTGGACGGAAACTGACGGGAGAGTGACTAAATTTGACCAGTTTCGGTAATTCGAGTGACCAAAATTGATATTAATTTTTTCTAGTGACTAAACATGGCACAATTTAATAATCTCAGTGACCAAATGTGTCATTTACCCGCAACAAATCAAACCAGCCAATTGTGTCAGTTCAATCATGTGATTAGGTGACCAAGATGGTGTGGTGTTATCATTTTTTTGTTGTATGTTTTACATGCACTAAAAGTATCCAGATATACAATTATACCTTAACTCACATTTGTGATACAACACCATATCTGCCAATAAGGCCATAAATCGTTGATCAGAACCAGAGTCATGTTACAATGATTCCCTCAGAAATTTAATAATACTCGATTCACAATGGTGTTATCATAGCTTAACCTCACACCGATCAAAATGTTATACATGGGTTCAACTTTCTGCAAGTATAGAAACTGTTGAAATTCCACAAGCTCCGGGAAGAAAACACAAGACGATATACACAGCAAGCCAGGTAAAGCAAAAACGTCTAGAGAATCAGAAATGCTTTCCAAACGTCTGCAACGCAAATTAATTATAACACTGTAATCACACCCTACTTCGCAGCTTGTTCCAACACGGAGAGCTTCTTCCAATCTTCCTCCAGCGCGGCATGGCTCTGCAAGGGTGGCAATGAGAACATGTTCACCGTCGAGCTCCCACTTCTTATCTCTTTCAACACACGCAATGCTGACAATGTCTGCTTCATGTACATGCTCTCCATATTCTCGATCTCGTTTAGCTCGTTCGGCACCCTAAACGACCTCTCCTCAGGTGTGGCCGTCGTCGCTTCCCCACCAGAGGGTTCTGGTGGGACTACCGATGACGTTGGTGGTTCGTTCCTGGGGAAGAGGACGTCGAGTGTCGCCTCGCATTCCTTCACAAGCATGTTAAGCACATGAGTCGTGAAGAAAGGCTGCTGCATGACCTTTCGAATGAAAGGCACTCGAAGTAGAGCTCCGCTTCTCTTGTCATACTTCTTCAGAATCTTCACCAATCCTAAAGCCATAGAATATTGACAATCACAAAGATCAACGCAGAGCCCGATGACATGTTATAGAAGCACTTCAAAATCATCAAACAAGACACGGTAACATTTATATATTCATTTAATCTTGATACATTCAGTTGACCAAAGCAGGCATTGGCCAGATGTCTCTTGTATATTTCTATTTCGTAGCTTTTGCAAAGTGCCAAACAGGTACTTCAAAATCATCAGAACAAGAAAAATGTATCCATCCCGCCTTTACGAACATATAGTCAACTACAAGCGCCCATTGAAATGGCATGACAGGTCTATTTCTTCCACAGAGCAGCAGGGTTTCTATCTGTTTAGTACACAGACGACAAAAGAGAGAAATCAAGAATATCCCATTTCATGACTGTACCTAAACAGATGTTATTTCTTGTTGCTCAGGCAAAAACAAAGTGCAGAAGATGGTAGAGAAGGGTATCTTAGATTACCTTCCTATCTATGACTTGCAGTAAACTTAATTAAGAAACTAGGGATTCAAGTTTTCCATAACATGGTCAAGTAGAAACAAGAGAGAGGAATACCAGTGTAGTTAAGGGCACTGTAATTCTCCAGCAAAATCATCTCGCCGTGCAGATCTACTATCTCTCCGCCTACTCTCATCAGCTCATCTTTTGAATCCTTGGCCTCTGCAGCCCTATCTTGCAACTCCTGCAACCCAAACACCCAAAGGTCAACTGCATAAATTCAAGAACGCATCTTCCAAACATGACATAACAGAAAAAGTCCAGAAATTTGACAATAATTTGCACATAATAGTATCACCCAGTTCCTGAAAATTTATATTTCTCTCCTTATCATGGTAAAATCTAGCCAATTTTCACTAGTCAAACCAATAATCGAACCCTCAAAAGTATCAGATTCTTCATTGATTTCTCAATATCCGAACCCTATCCTCAGAATCGCACAACAATTTTCCAAAAACCCTAAAATCCATGATAACAATTCGACAAAAATTTCCCATTTATAACATAATAACAATCATATAAACGAGGGAAACAGAAGCAGAAAGACGTACCTTCCACTTGATAACGGAGTCTTCTTCCTTCTCAACGATAAACGAATTCAGCTTCTCCATCTCATCCTCCAAGATCCTCACGAAATCGATCACTTCTTTCGTCACATCTCCTCCTCCGCTTCCGTTACAATCCGAGCAGTCGGCGGAGGGGTTTTCCGATTTCAATCGCTTGCTCGGTGGCTTATCCCCGTCCTTAGGGTAAATCAGCTTCAGCTGCTTCTTCAAATCCTTGTAAGACAAGAATTTGTCCCTCCATTCGGGCAGCGTATCCTCGATCAATATGCTGAGACTCTTCCAGAACTTCATGATGATCCTACTACTGCTGTGCGCCTGATCGCCGTCGAATCCCGCCGCCGGTCAGTTTCTTTTTTTCTTTCTCTTCGTAGTTTGGGTCGCTCGACTCGGTAATTCTCCTCCACTACAATCCAATTTTTTTTGGTATCGAAGTATCTGAAGATAAGGGGAAGGAAGGAAGGAAGAAATCAATCAGCGCATCCGAAGTCCGAACATAAATAATGGAACAATATTCTTTTTTCTTTTTATGAAAAACAATATTCTTGTTACCCGGATTTCGAATATTCCTTGCTCTTTTATTCTCTTCTTTTCCAATTTCCCTTTTATTTTCCAGCATTTACTTTTTTTTATATAACTTTTGGGGTTAATTTTCCTCGTGGGTTAATCAGATCTCATGGTTGTCAAGCCGACGGCATTGCGTACAATCTGATTCCACCAGTGTTGCTTACAAAATTGATCGGAATGTCCGATCGACATGATTGATTTACGACTTTAAGTAAAATAACATAATTCTGATGAATTTAATTAAGAAAAAATAATTGTTTATTTATCTTTTTGAATTGAGAGTAATATACTGTTATTCGTTGGATGGATTTGAATATGACTGTTTAAATGTTTATGTTATTTGTTGGATTCAAAAATAGACTTCTCGATATTGTGGTTAAATAGTCTACTTAAATATGATGAATTTTCATTTTGTTTGGAATGTTGTCTTTTATTTAAACGTGAATTCCTCTGTCTAGTCATTGTTTTAACTTCTTATAGTGTTACAGCTCATGGGTTTCATCGTTGTTTTCGTTAATTAGCAACTTTTCATAACAACGTTATTGTTGCAACTTTATTACTTCGTGATCTACTAGACATCTTACCCTCCTTTCTTTGCCTTGTCATTTTTACTAATTCACCAGAACTTTTTACTTTGCTTATTATGTTGAACCTAAACAAGTTGTTTCTTTCGACTTTGTCAGATTCCGACCTAATCACAGTGTAGTCAACATTGGTTCCATCTCTCTAACATTGAAATACATCTTGTTCTAACATTAAAAATTCCCATCTCGATTGAATGATGTCTTGAAGTATTGTGCTCGAGGCTCCTAAAAGAAGTAATTTAAGTGTGTCCTACAACCTTTTATCGAGAACATATGTTCGTTGGTTAGGGTTGTGTTATGGTAGTTTTGTTAACCATGACTTTCCTTTAAAAGATTCACCTTTCTGTAGGTTTCACATCCTCATCCCTCATGCCAACCAACTTGACACTGATAATCTCTTCGAAGGAGTTGGTGGATATGTTTAAATTGCACTTTTTCCTAACTCCGTCACCAATCGGACAAAGCATAGTTGTTCGAAGTCTACCTCCAGATTTTTGACCCCTCGATCCGAATTGTTGCTCTTGGGGTCCTTGATTGAGACTCCACCTATTGATCTTTGTATATATATTGAAATTTCTTCAATTGCTTCCTTTCACCCTCTCTATCACAGATCGTTAGATCGCAAACCTATGTTCTTAAGGATCTCCTCATACAAACTATCATAAACTAAACTCCTACATGTAAATATGTAACTTACCCTAGAAAAGCTAAATAAACCTTGAGCTCACGATTATATCTACATTCTACACACTTCCGTATTCCAGTGCAACTTCACAGTGACCAAGAAATTCATCATATTTACCGATGTGTTGTGCCGATGCTCATCTTAACTTTTCACCTTTCCCAATATTCATTTCGCTACTTCGTCAAAAGATCATCAATGAAGAGGAGGAGCTCGATCTCCTCTTTCTTCTCTATCGTCATAATTTTCACCCACTTAGGCCGCCCGCCTCGCCTGCAACAACAGGAGAGTACTGCCACATTCCGTCACTTGCACTTTGGAGCTACAGTGACATAGAGGGCCCAGGTGCCGTAGCGGGAACTGATACGAACAAAAATAAGGAAAAGCCAACTACTCGTTTGGAATTTGAGTGAGCACAGTGATCTCCCCCCACTTCCAGAAAAGAAGAAAGGCAACAACTTCCTCCGTAAGGCGACACACCCGCAGAAAGGCAGGGATGAAGAAGGTCCTTCCAGGGCAAGGTAATCAGATTCCTCTTGCATATAACGTGCATTTTCCCCCCCTCTCACATTCTCGTCTCACACCCATCTTGACTTGCTCCTTCTCTGCGCACACATCCTTTCTGTGCCTCTGTTTCTGTTTTTGATCTTGCTGCCGGCCTCAGTCAGACCTCGTGCCCCGCCCCCTTTTGGCTAGACTCCACTGCAAATAGGTCAGTTATCGTTTCCCCTTTCCAAAATCCTGCCTTTTCCTAGTTCATCATGCAATCTTTACCGTGCTTTTCGCTCGAGAATTTTGTGTGATGGGTTTTGCGTTTTTGGTTATTCTGCTGCTTGTTCTGAAATGGGTTTGATGGGTTCTGGTGATCTGTTTGAATTCTTGGGAAAGAATTGGCATTTGTTTTGCTCTTTTCCTGAGTTTCGTTGGTTCATCATGTGCTCAAATTTGATTGTCTTTGGCTTCTGAATTCTAGGGGTAATTTGGGATTATGTTAGGTGTTGTGTAAGTAAACGCACACCATTGAAACTAGGGCATCTAGTCTTGTAAACCCCACACCAATTGCTTACCAAATTATCCATTTTATCTGCGAGTATATTTCTGTTTCGCCAATTGCAAGTCTTGCATATTTCTGATTCACAAACTGGAGGGGAGATGGTGGAGATAATTGAAGTTAATAGGAGTAATGTGAGAATGACCTGCCGAGAACCGCATGATTTGGTTGTCTTAATGTGTTCTATTCAATTGTATGCCTGAATATCACCCTTCAACAACTAGCCTTCTGCGAAGTAGGGCTTGAACTTTCACGCTATAGGTTTGTTTATATTTTGACTGCCAAGGTGATATATTCATAACTGATAATCATGTAAAACGATCTGTTCATTTTTGTGATCTGCATTGAAACAATAAAGCTTCTTGAATTCTAACTTCTATTGATAGTCAATAGGTAACCAGTTATTAGCATCGTCTGACTCTCCTGAGAAGGAATGGATTCAGAAAAGAGTGCCGCACAGACTGTGGTAACTCAGGTCAGCATTGGAGGATTTGACATTGATGTCAAAGCTAATGATCTTGTCAAGCATCTCGAAGACAAGATTGGACAAGTTTGGCGATGCAGACTGAAGGCCTCATGGACCCCTCCAGAGTCCTATCCTAAATTTGACATCATCGAACCAAATGGCATCCAAGTAATGGACACCTACAGGCGAGTGGTGCCCCATGCATTTGTCCATTTCGCATTGCCCGAGTCAGCAAGTGCTGCCATGGATGCTGAAGGAAGTGGCCTGCTCACATTCAGAGATGTACCTTTGAAGGTTAGCCTGGGCCCTGAAAACCCATTTCGGCTCAACCAGAGAAGAAGAACTTCAACTCCTTTCAAGATCCCCGATGTGCAGCTCGACATTGGAACCCTTGTCAGTCGGGAGGAGTTCTTTGTAGGCTGGAAAGGACCCGATTCTGGTCTCGATTTTCTGGTTGACCCTTTCGACGGGACGTGCAAATTCTGCTTCACCAGGCAGACGTACTTCTCCTTCAAAAATTCTCCCGAGCATGCAGTGCTCAATTGTGATTACAAGATGGAGTTCTTGGTGAGAGACATATTTGACATCAAACAGTACACAGAGAGAACATGCTTGGTTATACTGTTGCAGTTAGCTGCAGCTCCACATGTCTGGTATAGAACTGCTGATGATGACATTGAAGTATCCGTTCCATTCGATCTGTTGGATGATGATGACCCTTGGATCAGAACCACCGACTTCACCCCAAGTGGCGCTATTGGCCGGTGCAACTTTTATCGACTCTCTGTTAGACCACGCCACGGTGCCAAGTTGAAGAAGGCCATGACTTTTCTTAGAGAAAGGAGGGTGCAGGACTATTCCCTTCAGAGACCTCTTAAGATCTTGGATGAGCCTGAGTTCGGGGCACCCCTATTGGATGTCTTCTTCTCTATTCATAACAACTATCCAGGGGTCTCTTTTGAACAAATGTTCCTGGTGAATGCCGTCATGCATAAAGGAATATTCAGTCAGCACCAGCTGTCAGAGGAGTTTTTCAATGCACTGAGAAAGCAACCTGCAGAGATCAATGTTGCTGCTCTAAAGCACATTTGTTCTTACAGACATCCTGTCCTTGATGATGCTACTGAGCGGCTAAAACTCGTCCAACGGTGGGTTTTGAAGAACAATGCTAATAGTTCTGTCAAGAGCAATACCCGGTTGGAAGACCTTGCTGAAATCAGGAGGTTGGTAATTACCCCAACTCGAGCCTATTGCCTTCCTCCTGAAGTCGAGCTCTCCAATAGAGTGTTGAGGAAGTACAAAGACGTTGCCGATCGTTTTCTGAGAGTCACTTTCATGGATGAGGGCTTGCAAACGATGAACTCGAATACGTTCTCGTACTATGTAGCTACCATCGTGAGAGAAATCACCTCAAACCCATTTCCTCAGAAGACCACCATTTTCAAAAGGGTTCGAAGTGTTCTCATTGATGGATTCTATCTGTGCGGTCGAAGGTACTCTTTCTTGGCTTTCTCGTCAAACCAATTGAGAGATCGTTCAGCATGGTTCTTCGCCGATCATGAAACCGTTAACACGAGTCGTATAAGAGCTTGGATGGGTAAGTTCAAAAATAGGAATGTTGCAAAATGCGCTGCCCGAATGGGTCAGTGTTTCTCCTCCACTTATGCAACTGTGGAGGTTCCATCACACGAGGTCAACGACATGCTTCCTGATATTGAGAGAAATGGCTATAATTTTTCTGATGGCATTGGGATGATAGCGCCTGACCTAGCCCAGGAAGTCGCGATCAGATTGAAACTAGATGCTGATCCACCATGTGCTTACCAGATCAGATTTGCCGGCTGCAAAGGTGTGGTGGCTTGCTGGCCTGCAAAAGACAACGACAATGGATATCGTTTGTCTTTGAGACCCAGCATGAACAAGTTCATCTCCACTCATTCTACTCTGGAGATATGCTCTTGGGCTAGATTCCAGGCAGGGTTTTTGAACAGACAAATAATCACTCTCCTGTCGACTCTTGATGTTCCTGATACTGTGTTCTGGGACATGCAGCAGAGGCAGTTGTCTCGACTGAATCAAATGCTCGTCGATGTAAATGTGGCGTTCGATGTTCTCACAGCATCTTGCGCCGAGCAAGGAACTGTTGCTGCATTAATGCTGAGTGCAGGTTTCAAGCCACAAACGGAACCCCATTTGAGAGGCATGCTGACTTCCATTAGAGCTTCGCAGCTCTGGGGGTTGAGGGAGAAGTCGAGAATCTTCGTCGAAAGTGGGAGATGGTTGATGGGTTGTCTTGACGAGCTAGGTGTGCTCGAGCAAGGGCAATGCTTCATCCAAGTCTCCAAACCGTCTCTCGAGAATTGTTTCTTGAAGCATGGTGAGAGGTTTCAGGGTAGTAAGAAAGATCTTCGTGTGGTGAAGGGCACTGTGGTCATAGCTAAGAACCCTTGTCTTCATCCTGGAGATGTGAGGGTGCTGGAAGCAGTTGATGATCCTGGTTTGCACCATTTACATGATTGCCTTATTTTCCCGCAGAAGGGTGAGAGACCACATACAAATGAGGCCTCTGGTAGTGATCTCGATGGTGACCTGTATTTTGTCACGTGGGATGAAGATCTTATTCCTCCCAGCAAAAGGAGTTGGCCGCCAATGCAGTATGATGTCGGAGAACCCAAACTGCTTGGTCGTGAAGTGAATACTCAGGTAATAATTTACATGCTGTTGGCTTATTTCTGTTTATCTTTACTTGTTGTCTTAAGTTGACATCAGTAGAGCAGATAATTCATCACTAAACAAGAAAGAAAACGCCAATGCTATTTGCCGGCTTTGTTGTCAATGCTGCAGGACATAATCGAATTCTTCGTTAGGAACATGGTTAACGAGAACCTGGGAGCAATCTGCAACGCACACGTGGTCCACGCAGATCTCAGCGAATATGGGGCTCTGGACGAAAAATGCATCAAGTTGGCGGATTTAGCCGCAACAGCTGTTGACTTCCCGAAAACCGGGAAGATAGTAACCATGCCGGGTCATCTAAAACCGAAGCTCTACCCGGACTTCATGGGGAAAGAAGACCATCAGTCGTACAAGTCGAGCAAGATCCTGGGAAGACTGTATCGCCAGGTCAAGGATGCATACGAAGAAGAGACGGCTGCTGCATCGTTGGAGCCCATCAGCACCAGCAGCTCGCCCATCGACATATACTACGACTGGGATCTGGACGTTCGGGGAGCATCCGATTTCATAATGGAAGCGTGGGACCTGAAGCGCTCGTACGATGACCAGCTGAGAGGCCTTCTTCAACAGTATAAAGTGAAGAGGGAGGAAGAGATAGTGACGGGACATGTCTGGTCAATGCCAAAGTCAAACAGCAGGAAGCAAGGCGACTTGAAGGAGAGGCTGAAGCAGTCGTATAGTGGCCTGAGGAAAGAGTTCCGGCGAATGTTTGAGCAGATGGATGATGGTTTCAAGGAGCTACCGGATGAAGAGAGGAACATCATGTACGAGAAGAAAGCATCGGCTTGGTATCAGGTGACTTACAATCCTACGTGGGTGAAGAGGTATGCCAAGTTGCAGGAGGTTGATGGTACTGTCAATGTTGTGATGCTCAGCTTCCCATGGATTGCAGCTGATTACCTTGCGAGGGTGAAGGTTAAGCGAAGGGAAAGGGGAAGCGGTGACGGGAATAAGCCCATTGAGGTTCTGCGAAGGTACATTGCTGAGAGGTTATGAGTTGGGATCCCAGCAATTAGGTCAAGTCGTTGTTGTGGTTGAGCCATTGATTTCGTAGCAAGTCCACTCTGCCATGGTTTGCTTCTATGTTGCTTCTTGTTAAAGTAGTTCATACCTTGTATTGCAAGCATGAGTCTTAGTTTAGTTATCGGTGCTTGTGTCCTCGAGTCTGTCATTCGGTCTATGCAATAACAGTGATGAAACTTCAGATTTCTTATTGTCAATTACCGTGTTCGTCCACTGCTTGATTAGTTGATTATATCTACAACTCCCAACATTTATAAACAAGGTCTCACAGATTCTGTTGTGAGCACAATCGTGGGACTGTCAGATACCAAGACCAACTAGTACGCCATACTAGCTCGACTAGGTTCCCCATTGCCATTCTATTCTATATCTCTAGTTGTCTAGAGTTTGAAGTTGAAATGATGTAGAAAGCATTTGAAGACAGATCAGGTTTAAAAATGCTCCATGATGAACAGAAGATTACTGAGAAGAACAATAGAGAAATTCAAACAAACAGAATTTGAATTCCTCCATTCTTTTTCAAACTTCAGCTTCACAATTTGACTGGACATATTAAGCATCCATATGCATCTAATGATCCGTGAAGTAAAAAATTCATCGATCACAGTCACAGCAACTGAGCCACAGAAACTGGAGACAAATCCAAGAATACAACATCTGTAGTACGTTTCACATCAGAACCAGGAAACTGATTCACAAGCCCTATATATGTTGACGAAGTTTGAGACTCCAACGTCCACAGTTCAGAATTCTGTGGGAGGCTTCAATCTCACCAGCCTTTTGATCCTTTCTTTATCCGTGTTCTCCAAGATACCCTTCACATAAGAAAAACAACAAGCAAATCACACTGAATGACGATGAACATAAGTAACAGATGCAGATGGAATTGAAGTATAATCATTCACATATTTGATCCCAATGGATGGAGCAGCCCTATAGGAAAAGGATCCTAACCCTCTAACTGTTCAAATGGAAAGGTAGCTAATGAAACACCTTAACGTGAAAAACCTTCCACAGTTCCACCATTTGAGATCTACCAGCACCTGAAGTAGAGTGAAGAAGTTGCTCTCTAATTATCAAATGATCCACCACCATTGTCCTTCTACAGCCTATAGGATTATCTAGGATACTTGTGAAAGTTGCTATAAACACTGCTGCTAGGACAAACCATAGACTACCTTCACCTCCCTTAGCAGTTCTAACATCAATTTCGCAGTGTCAAGAGAACAAGAAAGCAGAGAAAAGTAATACATACCTTCCAGACGATTTCGTCCAGAGTTAGACATATCTTTCCATACTTGTCCAGGAAAGTACGTTCTGTTGGTGGCTTCTTGCAGATATCCTTGATCGACCCCGTTATCACAAAGATGGCTTCAGCCACTACAGCACAATCCAGCCAGAAATACCAACAGAAATTACCATCAGTAAGTAACTTGCATAAAAAAGAACCCAACTTTGAGCTACTTCCTTATATACCTAATGTATGAAAACCAGAAATTGAGCTACTTACAAGCTAGTTCATCGTACTCATCCTTGCCAACAACATACAGGCAGATATCTCCAAGCACCGTATAGACGATATAAACCGACCTAAATCAAAAGTTCAACGAACACCCATGGCATTAGACGCAAAAATCGAAGCACCCTTTAAATCTGAAGCAAAGAGATCTCAAGGAGTGACAGGGAAGATAAAAAGGTAAAGCAAAACCCTACTTGTGGGAAGCGACAAAGAGCTCTTCGTTCTTGGCGTGTTTGAGATTGTCGGCTCCCAGTTTCACCAGGAAAGATCGCCAGTGCAATCGCTCCTCAGCTGGAACTCCATTGAATCTGCAAGAATGAAAACCCAGAAAAGTGAGAAAGAACAGTCGAGGCCATTGCAATTGCAATTGCAATCGCAGCATCTGCATAACAGATCACAAGAAATGAGGCAGAATTCGGGGATCTCACAAAAAGGTAAATCTATCACTCGGGTAAAGATTGAATCGTGAGATGTTTTACCTTTCCACAAGGATATTGCCCACAGAATTCGAGATGAGAACTGCAAGCAACATCGCCCCTCCTTTTCTGTCCCTCTAAAAATCTCCTTTCCTCTCAGCTTCTTCGTTTACAACTGATCTTCGTTTTTTTCTTTTGACTTCAGGCCATTTCTGAAGTTGTTGACTAATTTCCAAAAAGCTACTATAATTTTTGTATAAGCCACGGAATCATCACTATACTTTTCTCTGGTCAATTCGGCATATATCTTGTTTTTCATAATGGGCCGCCCCGGAAAGTCAGCCCAACAGCTGTGTATTTGTAGAACTTGGTCAAGGTTGAATTTGGGCCGAATTTCTGTTAGTTACTGTTCGATGGAATTTGCGGGGGTGACAAGAATGACAATTTTGTCCTCACTATTTTATAGGGTTGTAAACTTGTAGTAGGGTTTTTTTTTCTTTCTTCTATAAGTACTTTTAGTAGGGTTTATAACTTTATATGTCCTTTGATTTTGACTAATATTACTTTTTAAGAAGTGAGATCTTATTTGATGGGTGAGATTAAATATTTTTTAAATTCCTTAATTTTACTCATCGATTTGTTTTTTCTTTGTTTTAACTTTTGAAGGTAAATTTGAAATTTGTTACCTAGAATGACCAAATTTATTGAATCTATAAAATGATAGCCTCCTTTGAAATATTTGGGGGCAAATCTTTTTTTGGAGCACCCTTTACTACTCTTTTTTTTAATGGTTGTCCTTTACTACTCTTTACCATCTTTTTAAAAAAAAAAATTATAGAATGAACGGATTTATTGTGACATACAAAATATATTCATTCTTGGGAAAACCATCATTTTTATCAAAGTGGTAGGCAATGGTAGATGACAATTACTATATATATTCCTACTACTATCCTATATTATATCACCAACATGGTATAATCTTATCTCTACCACCATGAAATATTGTGGCAGAAGAAGACTCGATTAACAATATTTTTTGTTATAAAAATATATAAAAGTGAATGTCGTTTAATATAACATATTTATTCGGGTTGTTTTTCGCACTAAAAATATTGAAATTCGAGTTAAATGAGCAATACCTAATCAATTAAATGGATAGGGAAATAATAGTAATGCATGCCATTGTGTGAAAGACCCGCGCTCTCAAATCATCAGAGTCCACCAATCAATATCATGCCACCTTTTTTTCATATAGCAAATGTCGTTTCTTGATTGTTAAATGAAATCATTTGGTTTTTTATGTTTTTGCTTCTCTGAAGCTCAAAAGAGGCTTCACTCTGTTACTCTCCAACTAATTTTCTCAATGGAGACAAATCTGTTAGGATTCTCAGTTTGATGAACTGAAATAGTGGCTTGGGAAAGTAATTAGGGGCATTTAATTCTTCTTTATTAATCATATACAATATCTTTTCCAACAAGATTCATTATCTCAAGGCTTCGGGCAGGTTTGATGGTACATCTGGTTAAATCAAACCCACTGAAATTCATAACCAAACTGGAAATCAAACAAGAACATAGACAATACATAAAAGTCATTGGATGTTTCTTTTCACATGAAAAGAATTGGACTAATCTGGAGGTTGAATGTACTCAGAGAGTGATATATGTAATGGAAAGTATTGATTTCGAAATCATCATTAATGTTACACAATCTCAAATATTTGTGGGTAAGAATGATCCGTAAACGGAGTTTTTAAAGCGACGTGCATATACTGAAGATATGTATCTTTTCATTTTATGAAATGAAAGTAGAAAGTGATCGAAAAAGAAACATGAAGAGAGAACATATACAACGCCTGTGCATGCAGCTGGGGATCATGAGTGTGTGTAACTACTAAGCCAAAGTCTGTTGGTTTATTTAATAGGTAGTTGGGGAATTGCACAGCCACAGTATGCATCTCATTGGTTCTACATTTATTTCTAGGTTAGCTGTTTTCACAACTTACACACCATGGTAGAATCTTTATCTCTATCACCATGAAATATTGTGGCAGAAGAAGTCTCGATTAACATCTTTTTTGTTACCAAAAGATATAAAAGTGGATGTCATTTTATATTAGCATATTTTTCTTGATTGTTTTTTCACAAAAAAATAATTGAAGTTCGAATTAACTGAGTAAGACATAATCAATTAAATGGATAGGATAGGGAAATAGTAATTCATACCATTGCGTGAAAGACCCTAGCTCTCAAATAATCAGAGTTCACCAATCAAAATCATACCCACCTTTTTTTTTTATGGTATACCCACCTTTTTTCACATAGCAAATGTTGCTTCTTGGTTTTTAAATGAAATCATTTGGTTTTTTATGTTTGCTTCTCTGAAGCTCAAGAGGCTTCACTCTGTTACTCTCCAACTGATTTTCTCAATGGAGACAAATCTATTAGGATAGGAGTGTGCAATGGTCCGGTTCGTATCAGATCACAACGCAGTTTGGACAAGACTGCATCGGACCGAGTATATATAACGCAGTTTTTTGAACCAATGCGAAGCCGGTTTGGTTTTTGGACCGACTCGGTTTCGGTTTGGTTTTTGGACCGATTCCGGGCCGGTTTGCACATAATATAATACACCGAAGGGAAAAACGGGAGCCCCATTTCAAATTTCCTGCAACGAGAGTGAAAGTAGGAAGGACATTTTGGTCTTCACAATTACTTTTTTTTATTCATTAAAAAGATATGTACTGGGATTCGAACCATGACCATTTTAAAGAAAGGCAAGGATCATAACCAATAACACTACGTACATTTGTTGTATCCTTTTAAATTAAAAACATATAATAGCAGGGTGGAAAAAACTCTTCCCACTTTTCAAATTTCCTGCTCCAAGAGCGTTTGTAGGAAGGGTATAATAGGGAGTGTCAATTTTTTTTCTCTTTCCTCTGTGGAACGGGCCAACTTACCGTATACATGCAGATTTAAACGGGTCCAGGAGTGTCAATATTTTTCTTTATACCCTTTTATTTCTCCGTGGTGATAAAATATATATGAAAAGGCAAAAATAATACTCCTTTTTATTGTTAAAAATAAAAAATTTAACAATAAACTAATGCATGGTATCTAATGGGCTAACTGCTAACCATAAAATAAAAGAGTTGAATGGGTCGGACCTACATGAGATTTAGCCATCAAGTAAAACAAATGAACATCATTGGTTTGCCATTCTAAAACAAGCTATTTTCTCTGGCATAATATATATTATGCTATTATTTTATATCTTAGTGGCTAAAATATAACGTATTTTAAAGTTATTCAATGGTTCAACCTCGACCAACCCAATTAGTCCAATTTTTATCATTTCAAATATATATTTTATAATTATTTGACATCATAATGATCAAATTATAGTGTATTTTATAGGGAATCGTTTGGTATTTGTTAGTAAAAAACTAAACATAAAGATGCATTTGGTTATTTTAAACATTAAAACGATCCTAAACATTTTCAGTTCCTTTTGAATTTCTATGGTTTTATTCCCGAATAAATGATGTGCAAATGGCGAATTGTAGTCGTCTCTTTTCTTTCACTATTTTTTATTTTCAAATAGAAAGTTTAAAAGTAAAGAATAATTAGAATTTCGCATGGGTCGGTCAAACAGGCTGAATTTCAAGTTTTGGCCCGTTTGTTTTATGCATTGCAAATTTATTAGCATGTTGACGGAAATGGCTTGGAAAAAGACATATAAGTTGTACCTTTGCAGAAATGTCCTCAAATGTTTGAATGCTTTGTGAATCAGGTTCCGTGACTTTTGTGATGGTGTATGTGCTTGACGATTGCTCGATGTTGTAACTACTTAATTTGAGAGTAAATCTTTTGATTTTTCCTATGAGTTGTGATACCAGTTCTGGTGGTTGCAGCATGTTGTCGTTGTTGGCTTATAAAAGTTGTTACGCCGTGATGCTAAATACATTTCTTTCTTTTTTAACAAATTGTGTAGTAGTGCTATGAAACAGACCACCCATGAACGCTACGCTTATTATGGTATGTTCTTACTTCCGGTGGTGAGAAATTGTGAATTGAGAATCATATTAGCCTACCGCACTGTGTCTGGCTGATGGCTGCTTACTGTGCTCTCTAGAGTTATGAAACAGACTACCCATGAACGTTACCCTTAAGAGTCCATAACTTTGCAAAAAACCAAATTTAGGCAATCAAAGGTGGTGGATGTGTGATGATTTTTTATGGCTTAATTGTTTGTGAATTGGATATCTGATCTTTGTATGATTAGAGAGGATGTTTGCTTAATAGAATAATACATTTTAATTCATGTTTATTTTTAACATGAACTTTAGTAACTCAAAACTTTCGAGATACATATCACCTACTGCATTGTATCATTTTGCCTGGGTGCTTGCTGTGTTGTCAAACTTCTTTGCTGCTGCTGCATTTACACTAATAGGGGAGTTAAGAACCCATGAATGTTTCCGTTTGACACAAACAAGAGGACTTACTTCTAAATCGTGCACTAAAGATGATTGGAGGAAACATCTCTGTTGCAGTTGATATACTGGAGACCATAACAAAAGCAACGTATAACATCAAAACCAACCATCTGAACTATTAGCATTGTTGCTTTACTCTTTTTTCGTGGTTGAGTCTCCTTCAAAAAATTTAGTTTGATTTTAGAAAATTTTGCTTCTGCAGTCCTGTCTTGCCACTAACGCGTTCAGTAGATGGAGATGGCAGAGGCGAAGGCTATTTTTGTGTTGTTGTTGCTGGTTTAGGGATCGGTTTGTGAAGAAGAGGGAGAAGAGAGGGGGAAAGGGAAATGCAGGAGAGGGGGATAACTCTTTTCTCCGACAACAATGGAGTGAAGAAAGGAATTATGATCAGTAAGGATATGGTTATCTTACATAACGGTCTCTATTCTGTTTGAATTGAGCTTGGGAGGCAGTGATAAGGACGAGCTGCAACCAATTCATAGTGATAAGAGTGCTATGAACTGTGATCATGTCTTATTTCAAGTTAGAAGGTAGTTTCAGTATAAGGATTATTTAATTTGACAAGTTGTTTCGTCCATGATTCTTGGTAGTTTCAGTGCCATTCTAGCCATTGTTTAGTCTGTAATTTTTGAGAATTGATGTGCGAGTAATGACTTTCACTTAGCTTCAACTATTATGTGTGTATTTATTGACATGTGATAGAATTCTCTTTTCCTTTTCTTTGAATTCAGTTTCATACTCTAATTGTATAATTTGTACATAGGCAAATCATGCCCGAGATGACAACTCGCTGATATGGCTGTTGCAAGGAATGAAGCCATCATTAGAATTCAGACCAACAACGGGGAGGGATGCCTAGGACTAATTCAATGATGATTGATGATGGTATAATAAAAACTGCAATCTGCATCAGCACCAATTTCTAGGACTAAGTAAAGTTATTCAACCCAGAACTCTACTTAGCGTTAAAATTTGCCCTCACCCAACCTTGATCCTGTTTGACCCACTTCTGAAGAGTCAAGATATATGACTAATCCTCTCCGTTCGTATTTTCTTATTGACTCTTTCTGGTCCTTTAGGTTGGGGCGGGTCGGGAAGAATCGGATTAGTGGGTCGGTCCTAATCAAGTGGAATCACAATCCCTTCACTCTCACTTGTTTTCTCTCCCATTTCACAAGTGGGTAACATACAGTAATCCGGCCAACGGGCCGGGTAATAAGCTAGTAGTAATTCATACCATTGCGTGAAAGACCCTAGCTCTCAAATAATCAGAGTTCACCAATCAAAATCATACCCACCTTTTTTTTTTATGGTATACCCACCTTTTTTCACATAGCAAATGTTGCTTCTTGGTTTTTAAATGAAATCATTTGGTTTTTTATGTTTGCTTCTCTGAAGCTCAAGAGGCTTCACTCTGTTACTCTCCAACAGATTTTCTCAATGGAGACAAATCTATTAGGATAGGAGTGTGCAATGGTCCGGTTCGTATCAAATCACAACGCAGTTTGGACAAGACTGCATCGGACCGAGTATATATAATGCAGTTCGGTACTTGGTCCTCATGAATTTTATAATTACTGGAGAAACAATGAACCGAACTAATATTTGGATCTGACCGAACTAGACTAAATGAACCAAATGCAATGATAGTCCGGTCCTTTATCATAGTATGTCTTTCACTAATAGACCGTGGTTCTCATGAGTTCGGTTAAGTCCGGATTGGACTGAACCATAGCAAAACCTAGTTAGGAGGCTCAGTTTGATAAACTAAAAAGTAGATTGGGAAAGTAATTATGGGCATTTAATTGTTCTTCGTTAATCATATATGTTCTCCAACAAGATTCATCCAGATCGAACCATTGCACACCCCTAGTTAGGAAGCTCAGTTTAATAAACTGAAAAGTGGCTTGGGAAAGTAATTAGGGGCATTTAATTATTCTTTATCAATCATATATATGTTCTCCAACAAGCTTCATTCTCAAGGCTTCAGGCAGGTTTGATGGTACATCTGGTTAAATAAAACCCACTGAAATTCATAACCAAATTGGAAATCAAACAAGAACAAAGACGATAGATAAAAGTCATTGGATGTCTCTTTTTCACATGAAAAGAACAGGACTAATTTTGAGGTTGAATTTATACTCCGAGAGTGATATATATAAAGGAAAGGATATTGATTTAATTTCGAAATCATCATCGTAGTACACAGCAATCGCGCACACGCATCATAATGACACAATCTCAAATACTTGTGGGTAAGAATAATCCGCAAACGAAGTTTTTTAAAAGCGACGTGCATATACCGAATACATCTTTTCGTTTTATGAAATGAAAGTAGAAAGAAAGTAATACAAGGCCTGTGCAATGTGCATGCAGCTGGGGACTCGGTGTATAACTGCTAAGCCAAAGTCTGTTGGTTTCTTTAATCGGCAGTTGGGGCACTGCACATCTGCAATATGCATCTCATTGGCTCTACATTTATTTCTAGCTTAGCTGTCTTCACAACTTACACTAGAGGGAGAAAAGGGTACAACTATATCCTACCCCATCAAATCCTTCTCCAAAATCACCGATTAATATTATTGATCATAGATCAATAATCAATATGAACCGGTATCGGTAATTTTTTCTTTCTCCGGTATTCAAGAGTTTCGTAACGATGGTCATTATTTAGTTCCTGAGAATTATATAAAATATTGTACAGGATTCACAACAACTCGAATGGTTGAGATCAATTGGTTCCGATATAATATTATAGGGTTTGACTGATGGTTCGGACCAAGGATTTCAATTGTGGGATTTCAGATTAAACCCCACATACACATGCATCATTTCGCTAAAGTAAACTAAAAAAGTATGGATCTTGAACTAACCCTAATTTGTTATGATTTACATCATAATTTGTCAAGAACACAGCAAGCTATTGCCCTTTAAACCCCCAAAATGATCAAACAATACACAGCAAGCTGACCTGTGGAGCAGGGTATACGTACCTACTTAATAATGTAGGTGAAACCCTTATTAATTGCAAAGTTAGACTTTTCCCATCCATATTTCACCGACATCTTCACACTCTCCCCTCTTTCATTATCTTTATGTTCAAGTAAATAAAATAAAAATAAAAATAAAACAAACAAACAACTCACCTTCCCTCCCCTCTGTCCATAATAATATCGTACTATCATCACCACCATTAATATTGTCTCTTTACTCCTTCAGTAGTATGCTCATCTCTATCTCCCTCCCCACCAATCTCTCTGCAAACAAATTAAATCCTCCATCTCCTCAAACCAGAAGCATGGCAGTACAACAATCAAAGAATAATAATAATAAGAAGAAGAAGTTCAGAGGTGTCAGGCAGCGTCAGTGGGGCTCCTGGGTCTCCGAAATCCGCCACCCTTTACTGTACCTACATTTTTCCCCCATCCTTTCTCTCTCTCACTCTCTCTCTCTCTCTCTTATCACATAAATAAATAAATGTGGGTTTAAATTTTCCTCAGGAAGCGGAGGGTGTGGCTGGGGACGTTCGAGACGGCGGAGGCGGCGGCGAGGGCGTACGACCAGGCCGCCGTCCTGATGAGCGGACACAATGCCAAGACCAATTTTCCCGCCACCGCCACGTCGGCGAGCAGCAGCAAGACGCTGGGGGAGGTTCTGAACGCGAAGCTGCGGAAGTGCTGCGGCAAGGGCCCGTCCCCCAGCTCGCTCACGTGCCTCAGGCTGGACTCCGAAGACAGCGCCCACATTGGGGTCTGGCAGAAGCGGGCCGGGGCCCGGCCCACATCCAGCTGGGTCATGCGCGTCCGTTTGGGCTCCGGTCCTACTCCTGCTGTCGTTGGGCCTGCTGCGGACAATGCTGCTCCGGACGGTGGCGGTGAGGATGGGCCTGCTGCTTCGTCGTCGACGTCTACGACGACGACGGCGGATCAGGGTGAGGGGATGTCGCCGCCGGCGAGCGGGGGAGAGAAGGAGGCGGAGGAGAACAGAGTGGCTATGCAAATGATAGAGGAGCTCCTTAACTGGAACTGATTATGGTGTGTACTTTCGCTTTCAGGTGGGGTTGCTACTCCTCGTCTCGTCGTACGTCGTCGTTCATCTTTCCCTCTCTTTATTGTTACGTACAAATAAATCCATAAATTGTAAACGGACAGATATTATAGCATATACATATAGATCCACTTTTAGGTTTCTTTTCATCTTTGGAAGAAGAAAAAAAAATCTGAACTGATGCTACGATTGGGTTTATGGTGTTATTTTGGTTACTTCTTTTTTTTTTTTTAGTGTTGAGAAAGTTATTTTGGTTACTTATATATATGGTTATATATAGTATATACTCAGTTTTTTCCTACGTTATTAGTGAAATATGGATGTACTACATGCTTACTGATGGGATCCATCTTATTTTGGGCTTGAATTTTGATGTGGATAAATATTTCAAAAAGAATGTGATTATTTGTACCAAAATCTTTTCGAAAAAAGCGAAACAAAACATGATAAATGAAGTTTATCAGTATTCCTACTATTCATTGGTTATGTATGTTGAAATATTTCATGTCTATTAGTTATACCGTTCTTTTGATGGAAAGCAACGTAACTGTTGAGGTATTAATATGAGTGTATGCGAACGAGGTTATGGTCGAGTGGTCGTACCGCGAGTTTTCACCCTTGAGGCCCCAGATACAAATCCTAGGGACGACACGACACTCCTTTCCCACCCTCCCCCACCCCTCTAGTAGAAGTGTAGAACCTTGTAATAGGTCTCTGTCAATATATATATGAGTGCATCATTCCTTGGCCTGTTTGTTTTAGAATGCTATTAGAATTAATTTTATGTATGAAATTAGTGACTATCTATTATCAATGCCAGTGTTGGTAAAATTAATAGTACAAATTGTTCGATTGAAGGTCATTACGTATGTAATAAACGAACTTTACTTTGTTTAATTAATCAAAATTTTGTGATACTATAAGAATGGTAATGTAAATCCATGTCGCGTGGGGTATATTTTATATAATCCAACATCTAAGATCATATAGTAATTAGACCTAAAATGGTAAAGAAATCTCAAAACATGCACAAGACAAGCTGAGTGAAAACTGAAAAAGAGGGAACAAAAGGACAAGTGTGGATAGAGATGTGCTAGTCCACGCAACAGAAAACACGCATTAAGATGAAAGGACGTAAAGCGGGTAGGTTTATGGGGTTAGATTTGGCATTCTGCCAAGTCAAATATCCAACCTCGACTATCTCCAATAGTAACGCAAAAAATGTCACAAAACTTGGAGTTAGATTTGCCATTTGATCTTACCAAAAGGTTTTTATTCTCCAATAATGAGTGTTAAAATCTCAAATTTTCTAAATTAATTTTTGGCCTAAACTCCATTATTGTAGATTTCAACGTTTAAAGAGATAATTTATTCATTATTTTTATATAAGTAACAAAAAATATTATATTTGAAGATGAAAGTCTACACTAATATGAAAAGTTGGGAGACCATATTATGGAATGGCTTTTTGTCTTATCCAACCCAAATTTAGCCCCAAATCCTCCTCTTTTTGGAACTTTTAGCCATTATTGTAGGTAGTGTCTTACAATTTTGCCTTTTTTAGAGAGCCATTGGACATGGTCTCATTTTTGCATCAATTTAAGGTTCATTCAATATTTTCCTTTCCCGTATTTAAATATATTTTTGTTGTATTATCAATTTACCATGATATTCACCACTTACTAACCCATATTTATAAGTGATAACAAGAAGCAACAATTAGTTGAACACAAAATGAATTAATAATCAAACGAATAGTCCAGCAAAAGATAAATTACAGATAGAACGACTTGTTCTACCACTTAAAGAGAAAATATTATGCTTCAAAAAAGACATTAGAGGCTTAAAATATTAGCCAACGATTCTCTAATCAACAACAAGTAATGTTTCTCCCTGCAAGGCTATAGTAACAGTTCTATCAAAGAGAAATGAGTTATATCGTATGTTCCTAAAATTATACAAAGGTAAATACATGCCTTGTAGAGACACATTTCTAGTATACCTCTGTATACAACCATTTTTCTTGTATTGTGTTATCTTAGAAATTAATAATTAGCAAAGTTGTCAAACCGGTTTAAGTCATTGAGTCGGTCAAATAAAGGGTTTGAGGTTTAATGATCTGATTGGGGTCCGACCAGTTTGAGGCGTTTTAGACGTTTTCTAAATATATATACAAATAAGGTAGTAATTAAAGATTTAATGACTGAAATTACATTTATCTTACATATATCTATATTAAAATTTTATTTTCCACAAAATAAATCTACCTAACCTTCATGACTCACCTACCAACTCCCTTTCTTCGTTCCTCTTCCTCTCTTCCCCCTCTCTTCTTCTTCTCCCTCTTTATGGGTCAGACCGAGGGCTTTCTGGAGGCTGTTTTGAAACCCGACTCCAAAATTTCGATTAGTTAGTGATCTACATAGTCCGATATCACTATGGTAAATGCAAAATTTACTAGGCACAAGATATATCCTAAATAAAATTACATATTTATCAACTAGCAATGGGACTCCACTGACCACTAGACACCAGTCTAGTTTATTGTTTGGATTGCTGGCTCACAAATTGGACCTTTATTTCTTGAAAATTTTGAGGGCCATGCATGTGGCCCACAAAACAAATTTCTGTGGCGGAGGACCGAGTCCTCTACCTGCAGAGCTTGGTTTCTTTTCTTCCCTCATTTGCAGCCGCAGGCCGCCCTTTTAAATGTTTCAGGTTCAGCGTTTACAGTTGCAGACTTGCAGTTGATGGCAGCAAGACTCCTTTCTCAAGTTTCCGGTTGGTCGGCTGCAGACTTCATGCCATAGTCTAATGGCGGTGCCGCCATATCCACGTACGGCTTCTTTTATATAACTCATCAGTTTATGTATACGGTCTCTCTAGATTTCTCGAATCAATTCGCCTAAAGAAAACGTAAACTAAAGCATACAGAAATATCTGGATATGAAAATTTTATGAGTTGTCAAAAATTGGGATGGATCCACGGTATGATCAGATAAATCATGATCTGGACTAGATCAAAAGAGCAAAACATCCCACAAATACAAATCATGGACCAATCCCAATTTTTTTTTAACGGTCTACGATCTGACTCACATTGTGCCCACTCAGGTATCGTTTGCTTGTGAGATTTGGGTAATGGATTTGAGACAACTCCATTGTTTGCTAAGGGACACAAATCTGTGGGGGTCACGGATTTGCAAATCCCATATTTCATTTGGGATTTGATCATGAAAGGCAAAGTTGTGAGACAAATCAATGATAAATCCATGATAAAAATTAACCAAACAAACAATGAACTCTTCCAAATCCATAATGCAACAAATCCATCATAAATCCAAAGGTTTTTAAAATTCAAAACCCTCATTTTCAAATCCAACAAGCAAACGAGCCCTTCAGTTTTAAGTCATAATCTATCAAACGATCTGATGTATTTTTTCCGGCGTAAGTTTTCTTCAAGATGGAACTGATGATGACGGGAATAGGCCACAGTCCACCGGCGTGCAGGGGGCCACAACTCCTGATCCAACTCTTTCCACTTTGAAATAGATTGGACCTTTGGTTTTCATCTTATAAGGCCCAATAGGTGTCCATCAAAACTGATTGGGCCGTTGGAGAATCTTCCATTGGGCCTAAATCATTATCCATCCACAGGCCACGGCATCCCATGCAATTAAAAGATCGAATACTTGGGGGCAAACAAACCATTATTCTTTGCCACCTTGAAACCAAGAAGCAAGCAGCTAGGTAATGATGATGGAGTAGTGCTTTCTTGCCCTCTTCTTCAACCTCATTATGCCACTCTTAATCTAAGAAACCCTTCAGAATATACCTCTCTTTCTCTTTTCTTCTCCCCCTTTCGTGTCTTCCATGCATATCCTTACTCCCATTATGTCTCTCTCTCTCTCTCTCTCTATATATATATAAACATGGATGGTTCCATTCCTCTCCCTGAACCCTAAAACTTAACTCTCTCCACATCCATCCTTTCCAAAGATAACGAGTACTCAACCTCCATCGATGGTGGGACGTCTGTTGCATGGGACACTTGCTGTTACCATATATGAGATTGATAGCCTCAACAATGGATGTGGCCTTGACATGTTCTCTAAGGTGACTCCTAGCTACTTTATGGTTACCATTGTACCATATAGAAATATACTTTTTATTTATTTATTTGTGTGTGAAGTTTGATTTTATGGTATCAATGCTTCTGATCTCCTCCTAAATGCTTTGTGATACCGATTCCTTTGACGTTACGGTTTCTTAACATAATGATATTATTTATAGCTAGATCAAATTGATTCGTGTACTAGATTTGACTTGATTGGTTTCGTTGCATACGTCCAAGGTTTACATTTGTATAAATATATTGTCATGCTATTAAGTATTTTTGGCTCGATTATTTCTTCTTCCTAAGAGATGGAATGGAATAGCCACGTTATAGAGTAATGTACAAAAACTGAAATCATCTTCGTCGAGATTTGTATATTGCAATGTCGAGATTTATTTTTGTATAGACATGTTCTTCACTTTGAGTAAATTGATTAACATGGCTTATTTTAAATCATTGTTAGTAGCTCGATCGTTTGGCAAATATGAATTATAGAATGTATGGGTTTAAAAAAGAATGGTGTATTGTTCTAGTGTGGAGTGGTCATATTATAAACTTTTGAAAGAAAAAAAAAACTTTTTGGTTCTTTACCCCTAAATTATCAAAGTACTTCATATCTAAATTCCAATATTATTGGGCGTCCAATAACAATGATTTTGTATGGAAATTAGATAAGAAAGATAATGCAATGAAATAAGTTTGATAGGCATGCATTAATTTTTTTGCCCATTCTGATGTCAAATCTCTAAAAATGAGTAAATTTATACTTCTCTTGAAGTTAATGTTATATTCATATTAAATTCTTAACCTACTTGTTCCACATGGTCAAGATTTTAGCTCCATATGATCAAGAAAAAATGAAGCTTCATGACATCATTGTTAATTCTGTTTTCTTTTATGTATATTTCGTAATGAATCTTATACACATGTACATGTAGACTTCATCAATCATGTCTTCTCTTCCTAATTGCTTTACAAATTGTTAGTCATATTTCTTCTCAAGGAAAAAAAAATTACAACACATGTTCATTTCAATCACATATCAGAACAAGTTAATTTGTCTTCATTGGTACTCCCAGTCAAATTATTCTATCCTTTATTATATAGTTAATCAATTCATAAAAATAATTGAAAAATGTTATGTCACCATAAATTAAATTAGGTTTTGTTGATGATTAATGCTGTTCTACTTAATTTTATTGTATATGTTTCAGTGTGATGGGCCGCAAAAGATCGGAAGAAGGTTTTTATCCAAATTCAAACGCGTATTATTTTGCCGACCAGAGGTACTTACTCTTTATATTTCTATAAAATTTTGGATTTTAAATGGAGAGTGCTATAGTACCATTAAGGTACACATCAATTTAATTCGACAATAGAGTTCATCGACTAGGAAAACATTAATATAACTTTTTACTCATATAATTATGGTAGATAATTATTATTTTTATTTCTAATGTCATTATGGTAACAGATTGGTGGATCGAGATTATATGCTACAGTCGATTTGGACAAGGCAAGAGTTGGAAGAACTAGAATCCTCACCAAAGAGCCTTCCAACCCTAGATGGTATGAATCATTTTGGATCTATTGCGCTCACACAATCAACCACATCATCTTCACCATCAAAGACGAAGACCCAGTTGGAGCCACACTGATCGGAAGAGCTTACATCCCTGTGGAAGACATCATCAAAGGATACATCGTCGACAAATGGGTCCCCATCCTCGACGACGATTACGACAAAGCCCCCCTTCCTGGAAACCCTCGAATCCACGTCAAAATTCAATTCTTCAACATTGCCTATGATTCTAACTGGTCGCAAGGAATAAAAAACCCCAAGTACGAAGGCATCCCCTACGCTTTCTTCAACCAAAGGCATGGGTGCCAAGTAACCTTGTACCAGGATGCTCACGTCCATGACAACTTCATTCCAAATGTTCATTTGGGACCAGATAGAAAGTTATTGCAGGCGAATAGATGTTGGGAGGATATCTTTGAAGCCATAAGCAATGCGAGGCACCTCATTTACATAACCGGATGGTCGGTTTACACCGAGATCACTCTAGTGAGGGACCCAAATCGGCCGAAACCTGGAGGTGATATGAAGCTAGGTGAGCTCCTAAAGATGAAAGCGGACCAAGGTGTGACCGTTCTCATGTTGGTCTGGGATGATAGAACTTCAGTTTCAGAGTTTAAAAGGGATGGGTTAATGGCAACCCACGATCAAGAGACTGAAGCCTATTTTAGAGACACAAAGGTGAAATGCATATTGTGTCCTCGCAATCCTGATGATGGAAGGAGTATAATTCAAGGGTTTGCAATCTCAGCTATGTTCACACATCATCAGAAGACAGTGGTTGTGGATGCTAGCATGCCATCAGAAGTGGGGGGAGGTACTGGAGAGTCTTCGAAAAGAAGGATTGTGAGCTTCATTGGAGGAATCGATTTGTGCGATGGTAGATATGATACACAAGATCATCCATTGTTCAAGACGTTAGACACTGTTCATCATGAGGATTTCCACCAACCAAACTTTCCAGGAGCGTCGATTACGAAAGGAGGTCCACGAGAACCATGGCATGACGTTCATTGCAAGCTAGAAGGTCCGGTTGCATGGGATGTTCTTTATAACTTTGAACAAAGGTGGCGGAAACAAGTTGCAGATATTAATAACAAAAATTTGTTGATCCCACAAGAGAAACTAGAAGGGTTGATCTCGCGTCCATTTCCAGTGTTGCAGTCTAACGATCCAGAGGCATGGAACGTTCAGATCTTTCGGTCCATAGACGGTGGAGCGGTTTTAGGGTTTCCTGAAAAGCCGGAGGAGGCTGCAACTGTTGGGCTTATTAGTGGGAAAGACAACGTCGTTGACAGAAGCATTCAGGACGGGTACATTCACGCCATTCGAAGGGCCAAGAATTTCATATACATCGAGAACCAGTATTTTCTTGGGAGCTCTTTCGGGTGGAAGCAAAGTGGGGATATTAAAGTGGAGGACATTACTGCTTTACATCTCATACCTAAGGAATTGTCATTGAAGATTGTGAGTAAGATTGAAGCAGGTGAGAGATTTGCGGTGTATGTTGTGATCCCAATGTGGCCAGAAGGGATTCCGGAGAGCGAATCCGTTCAAGCGATATTGGATTGGCAAAGGAGAACGATGGAGATGATGTATTCTGACATTTCTGAAGCTCTTAGAAGGAAAGGGCTCAACACGAGTCCTAGAGAATACTTGTCGTTCTTTTGCCTTGGAAACAGGGAGACTAAGAAGAGCGGCGAGTACGTGCCTCAAGAGACTCCAGAGCCCGATTCTGATTATGCCAAAGCTCAACTTTCTCGTCGATTCATGATTTATGTCCATGCAAAGATGATGATTGGTAAATGTTTATCCTCCTTGCATTCTTTTATCATCTCTTATAGAACATACATGCTTACCATATAATTATCATGTTAAGATATGTGAATTGCACAATTTTTATGAACGAAATGAGGCTGACAATATTGTCTTTTTGTAGTTGATGATGAGTATATAATTATTGGGTCAGCAAACATCAACCAAAGGTCGATGGATGGCGGTAGAGACACTGAGATTGCAATGGGAGCATTTCAGCCGCAACATATAGCAACGAGTAACCAACCACCAACGGGCCAAATATATGGGTTTCGAATAGCATTATGGTATGAACATCTAGGAGTGCTTGAGAAGTCGTTTCAATATCCAGGGAGCGTGAGGTGCGCGCAATTGGTGAATCAACTTGCAGAGGATAATTGGGAGAAATATGTGAGCAAGACTTTCGATCACGATCTTTCAGGTCACTTGCTTAGGTATCCCATTGAAATTGGTAACAACGGAGTCATCACCAATTTTGGGGAGATGAATTTCCCAGACACCAATGCTCCCGTCCTAGGCCGTAAAGCGGATTATCTCCCGCCAATTCTCACCACATAAGATTTGTTATCACTAATATGATCAGTGAATGATATAAAAGACCTGTACATAAGGAAAAAATAATAATAAAAGAGTAATACTAATGTATATGTACTATCCAAAATTATTAAATGTGCCAATTAGTTTCAACACTTTCATGCTCTTTTACTAGAAAAAAAAAGTTATCAATCACATCATTCTGTATATAATTTTCTGCAAATGATTGTTCTACATGATCCCACTTAGTTGAAGGGTGATGTGGTCTCTGGGGTGACTCACCCATGCGTACGCACAACACCATATATAACGTTAGATTAATGGCGAACTCGATGAAGTGGTAATGTTTGTGAAAAGTATAATTGTCTCGTACTTGAGAGTGCTATAACTTATTTATTTAATAGAAAGTAGAGGGGCTTAGTTGTTAAAATCACTAAAGTAGAGGATCTTAAAGATCATTTACCAAAATTAAATAAACGGATTAAGTTGATGAGATCAGCGTACCCACAAAGCAAATCGAGCACTCTCATCAAATTTGGGGAATCGAACGGTGGAGATGAAGTTCACGTAGCAGGTGCACCAGAATCTGCAGTTTTCTCGACCACAGACAACCATTACCCCATTCTAATTTCTAATTTCTTACGCCTAGAAGAACTTCTTCTTCTTCCTCTTCCTCTTCGCTTCTTCCGCTCACTCCCTCGTCTCCCTCCTTCGCCGCCGCCATCTCCGGCCAGGGAATCTTTTTTCCCCCCGCACTTTCCTCTCGTTTTTTCTAATAAATCGAGATTAAGGGCTTCAATCTGTAGGGAAGGAATTCGTGAGCCGGAAATCGGAAGGGCCTCGGGCGTCGGAGACCAAAAGAAAGGCCTTTGGTTGAATCGGTGACCGGAGTGCCCTTTTGTTTGGCGGGGGTCGGTTGAGGAAGGAGACAAATCGACGATAACCCAGTTAATTTAAAAAGGAAATTTCCCCAATTTGATTCCGATTTCCATTACTATTCAATCATGCAGTTTTTGAGGTCTCCCTCTCTCTCTGTCCTGTCTATCTCTCTCTAACGCATCTCTGCCCCTCGAATCTTCGCCTTAGTGATTCCGAATTTGGATCAGAGTTTGATATCCCTCTGTTTTCAGGTCTGTTCGGAGTCTCCTTCCTCGACTTGGTGATTTGCAGCTAAGATCTTCAGCGTGGCGCCTGTAAATGCAGTTTTGTAGGTTGTTTCCCCCTTGGATCTGCCATCTCTTTGCATGCATGGGGTGAGCTTTTCTGGATTCTCCTTTTGTTGCTTCTAAATAAGATGAGATGAGATACTGTTCAAGAGCTCTGAAACAGTGGAGAAAATCCACCTCTTTACTTTCAACTGTTTTTGTTTGGTACAAAGCTAGTGAGAAGGGGGGTTGCGATCTAGATTTTCATCTGGAGACCAGTTTTTAGGCATATCCCGGAAGCTTTTGGTCCTTTAGTTCGCATAAAATGTGGCTCTTTACCTGGCTTTTCAGCAGATAGGGATGAATGTTACCGTGTGTATATCAAGCTTGCCTGCCTCAGCTTGATTTGGTATCTTTGTTTTACTACTCTTTGCTTCGTCTGTAAGTAAAAGCTTCACTTGTGGGGAACAGAAGAACAAACAAAGATTGGCTTTTCTTGTCGCCCCTTTCTTTCCTTGAAAGAATGAGCTACTTGGACATTCTATTCTCCAATGGGATTGCTTGCGGGCAGAAGCTTTTTTTGTTGTAGGAAGTAATGTTCTCTACATGTTGTGTCCTGAACCAGACTGAGAGATGTGTTGGGAGGAAACCTTGCAGTTCTTTTGTATTGCTTTCTGGAGCATATTTCCGTGTTGTGGCACGCATGGGAATGGAAGGATTTAGGAGTAAATGGAAGGGTATTTTCAGTGTGAGAAGCTTTCAGCTTTGTTTGTTTTCTTCTCTTTCTTCATTAATGTTTTGTTTCTAGAATCGGCCTACCTTTTACATATGAGATAGAAATTATCGCTGATGGCATTCCCCAGTTCCCTGTGAACTGAAAGTTCAGGGAGTTCACACCCTACCAGCTACTGGATTTATAATCTTATTCCTGGTCTCGGATTTTATTTGCATTGAATGCTGATAAGTTTGTGTAATGGAATAGATGTATGCGTGCTTAGTTTCCCATTTCCATGTACTACCACATGGAAAATTGATAGATTTAAGCTTACAGAAGCCATTGTAATTTGCATATCGATTTGCAACGTTTGCACACCAATCGGGCTTCAAATTTTAGGTCAATAATTAATGTAGCTTGAAGGATAATTCTAACTCCTGTCTCCTGCCAGTGATGAATTTCATATATTATTAGAGTATATATATTTGATTTGTTTCGTAGCTGGCTCATTAAAATAAATTACTGGCAAATGGACATTGCATCCCTTCCCCTTGTTTGGTTTCCAAATGGAAAAGCATAGTCAAAAAGACTAAGTTGTTCTTCACAGTGATGTATTTCTATAGAACTTTTCAAATTTTGCCTTTTCCATCTGTTTTATTGTTATCATCATCATTTAGCTGTGAAATGAGAAGTACTTAGTTGTGGGTTACTTGGTTCTAATCATATTTGTGGTAAAACCTGATTTGTAACAGAGCAGAGGTTGTTTTGGTTGCTGTGCTAAACCCACTACCGTTGTTTCCGTGAATGAGCATTCAAAGAGCTTAAGACCTCAAGAAAGGATAGCAAAGAAATATAGCATAACCGACGATTTCTGGAGCAGTAGTGCAGCAGAAATGGACAACAGTGCTATACAATCACAGAGAAGCATGTCATCCATCAGCACACTAAACCAGCCCCTCGATCCCTGCAGTAATGCTGGCAGCTCAAGCAACCCTTCTGAATTTGTAAATCATGGCAAGTTCTACTAGTTATCACTAGTCATGGTCAATATATTTAAACTGCAGATGCAGCAGAATCATCTTCTCTTCGTGGTCGTTTCATTGGCTTTTGTTTGGCCCTTTTTTATTTTTTTCCTACTGTAGGGAGTCTGTTGATAATCTTGGTTGACATGTTATTTCATTGTTCAACTTCCCTTCTCTAAAATTGTTTAAAGGCTGCTATTGAAGTTGTCCTTAGAAGGTTAGCAATGACATGTTATTTTTTTGCTGGCTGCAGGTCTCCTTCTATGGAACCAGACAAGGCAGCAGTGGCTTGCAAATAAGTTATCTCAGAGCAAAACAAAACCGCAAGCTCGTGAGCCCACAATAAGGTGATGTGTAGTTTATCTTTATGAAAATGATGACTCTATAGAGCATTGCTACTCCCTCGAAACCTAATTTAAAGTTAAAAACACTCTATTTGCTGGTCTTTTGATCATATAGAAGTTTCACATGTAAATTATCTTCTTGGAGCAGAGTGGCATGATCTTGCATCCATCCAACTTTTATCTGTTTCAAAACTCATATCCGATTCCATGTCCTTTTAGAGTTGATTGTTTAAGCTCTCAATCCGACTCACGAGCAATGATGTATGTGGCAGTTGGAATGCTTCTTATGATAGCTTACTCGGGAGTAATAAGCCATTCCACCATCCTGTTCCACTTGCTGTAAGTTATGAAAATGGTGGCCACCGTCGTTGAAAACAAGTTCAGCAGGCCAATGAGATAATTTTTTACATTTCCTTTTGGTCTTCCTGTTTGTAAAATGGCAGGAAATGGTGGATTTTCTGGTGGACGTTTGGGAACAAGAAGGGTTGTACGATTGAATCGATCGGGAAGAACCCTTGTTTAGGAGTTCGTTTCATTCTCTCTGTGATCGCACGCACACAAGGGTTGTAGCAACTGGCAATTGTGATTAACTTATAATTTATGTGCTTCCTCATCTGGGAAGGAAACACCAACTTTGAAACTTTCATCAGAAACACTTTGTAAGCAGTCTTTTGATTTAGATTGTCTGCTCGGTGCGCCGCCGCGCTTGGAGATTTGCTGTGATTCTATTTTCTATAAGATCAGTACTGTTATTGATTCCATTCATTCACTGATTACATTCTGAGGCGCTGTTGTTAAAAGCGTTCACTGCTACGACACCTATTTTTTGTGGTTGCGGGATGGGGTTGGGTGTTATCTAACTTTACGTTTCTAGGTAAACGCTTTTATACGCAGTTTTTATAGCTAGTGTAGTTAAAAATCGTAAAAAATTACTATTTTAGCTTCTTGATCATCAAAATACTTATATATAGAAACGTGCTTTTGATTATATTGCTATCATGTGATTAGAAAACTTCAAAATTAAGAATCGATAATCAAATGTATTAAAGTATGTGCTAAACTGCATCTCTTGCTCCGAACCCACAAAGAGAAATGTAAGCAGTCTCACATATGATTATAACAGTTTCTTGCACAATCTACTTAAGCATCACGAAAATTGAGCTAGGATGATAAATCAAGTTCAATTACTTTGTAATTCGTAGACAATCGAATTGTGACGGCTTTATTCTAACAAATAACACGAATTTATAACAAATTACATGACAATTAACAATACTTGGTCGGCACCAAATACACCTGCGATGATAATCATAATGTTATAAATAATTATAAGAAACGTTTTCAAGTTGCTGGTGACAAGTGAAGTTCAATATATTTAACCGAAGCTGACTGGTTTCCAACTCAGGCTTTTGTCTCGTCCAATTAGCCATCACACCACTGAAAGAGTGATTTATTTATTTATTTATTTTTATTATCTTTTCCTGTCTTTGTTAGCGTAAAAGTCGACCCAATGAAAAACGGTTTTGGTAAACGATTAACGTCATTTTTTTTTTTTTTGCAACGATGTCCTCCTAACACCCCTTTTCTTTTTTTTTTTTCTGGTTTGGTTTCACAATTAGTTCGAGCTGGCCGAGCTTGGACCAGCTTTGTCGAAACACACTATTATATATTAATCTCGCATCCATCTATCTCAACACTCTTGGCTTCTAATTTGATCAAGAAAACCAGCATGGCGCCATCACTAATTACCTACATTCTCCTAGCTCTCCCCTTCATCCTAGCCTTCCTTGTCCACAACCGCAAGAAAATTAGGTCGAACCAGGCTCGTCTCCCACCCGGCCCGACCGGTCTTCCCTTCATAGGAAACCTGCTCCAGCTTGATCCCGCCGCCCCTCATCGCTATCTATGGCAGCTCTCCAAAAAACACGGCCCCTTGACTTCCCTCAGGCTCGCTTCTGCCCGTGTCGTCGTCGCCTCCACCGCCGAGATGGCCCAACAGGTGATGAAATCTCAGGACCTCGTCTTCTGCAGCCGGCCAACCGCAATCGGCACGCAGAAGCTCTCCTACGGCGGCCGGGACCTGGCATTCTCGCCCTACAACGAGTACTTCAGGGAGATGAGGAAGTTATGTGTGGTTCATCTCTTCAGCCTTCCCCGGGTCCAGAGCTTTCGTCCCCTCAGAGAGTGCGAGGTGTCTAAATTGATTGACAGGATATCCGAGTCGTCTGGACGACGACCTTTCGACCTGTCGGAGGCGATGAGATCCCTCACCACCGCGATCATATGTCGCGTGGCGTTCGGCACGAGCTACGATGACGAGAGATCCGTCGCGAGGTTTCAGTCGCTTTTGAATGAGACTCAGGCTATGTTCACGAGCTTCTTTGTCGCCGACCATTTCCCTCTCCTCAGGTTTGTGGACAGCCTCTCTGGTCTCAACCGTCGCCTCGAAAAGAATTTCGAGGAGTTCGATGCCTTCTATCAGGAGATCATCGACAATCATCTCGACCCAAATAGATCAAAAAATGAGCAGGACGAAGATATTCTTGATGTCCTGCTTCAGATTAAGGAGGACCCGTCCTCCAAAATCCGACTCACTTTCGACCACATCAAAGCACTTCTCATGGTAAATCCTCTATCTGTAATCCGCTTACATAGTTTACCTTGCTTTTAATTTCTCTCTCATATTTTTTTCTTTTTGTTTTTAGAATATATTCGTCGGTGGAACAGACTCCAGCGCGGCCACTGTGATTTGGACGATGACATATTTGGTCAAGAATCCTGGAGTCATGGCGAAAGCTCAAAGAGAAGTTAGGGAATTGATCGGGAAGAAAGGTTTTGTGAATGAAGAAGACATGCAACAACTAGCCTACCTCAAAGCTGTGATCAAGGAGTCAATGAGACTGCAACCCACAGCTCCATTGTTGGTTCCACGTGAATCAACCGAGGATTGTAGGTTAGGCGGGTATGAAATACCAGCCAAGACTATAGTCTATGTCAATATATGGGCGATCGGAAGGGATCCTGAAACCTGGGGAGAAAACCCCGAGGAGTTTAGGCCGGAGAGGTTCGTGGAGAATCCGTCGATTGATGTGAAAGGTGCAGACTTTGAGCTGATACCGTTCGGAGCAGGAAGAAGGATGTGTCCCGCTATGCATATGGGGCTCGCAAATGTGGAGCTCTCTCTGGCTAATCTGCTTTACGCTTTCGATTGGGGAATGCCGGATGGAATGAAGAATGAGGATTTGGACATGGATGTGCAGCCTGGCGTCGCGATGCACAAGAAAAACCCTCTGCGCCTAGTGGCTACAAAGTGGGTGTTATCGCTATATCCGTTTAAGGGGAATTCAGACATTTTCACAACCAACACTACTAGAATTTGTTTCGAAACGACATCAATTTCTCATTCATCCTGTTATAGTTCATTATTTACTCTAAATACGTATTAAATTTTCGATGAATTGAGATCCAAGTGTCAAGATATAGTTCTTATTCATGATTATCTAGTACTTTATTTGTGTAGCATGGGTAGGACTGATAATCTATTATTAGCAGGTTTACGGTTTAATCAATTATTGAAAACTGGCTGTTACTGGATAAACCACTAATTGACGATATCGATATACGTTTGTCATTAAATTTCAAGTCAAATGAAGGTTTGGATTGTATAAGGGTAAATTGTAAGGTTGGTCACTGGGATTACTAAAAAGATTCATGTTTGGTCACTACAAATATTTAATTTCATTCATGGTCACTAAGAATAGTTAAATATTTCAACTTTGGTCACTCTCCGTTATCTTCCGTTAGTCTCCGTTAACGGCGTCAGTTTTTTGCTGACGTGGCTAACTGAAGGAATAATTCATCCAATTTGGACCAGAAAAAATATAAAACCTAATCCATACAATCAGCTAAACCTGCCATGTCACCAATGACCCAACCTGACCACTTTGACTCAACTCGACCCTGTTCTCCCTTTCTCTCCCGTCTCTTTCTTCTGTAGCACTCATCACCGCTCCTAACCTTTGACCTGACCCTTCCCAAGTTCGTCATCGGAAGAACTATACAATGGGGAGTAGTTGATGACTCGATATTTGCACATGTTTCCCCTTTGTTTCTTGATCGTTTAACCTTGCATTATCACTTCTTTGGACTATTTTACGCTAGGTTGCGTTCCTTTGTCACATTTCAGGTCCTAGCACATAAAGTGAAGCATAGGCGCAAGTTTCAAGTCAATCGGAGATCAATTGGCGACTCGGGGGAAGAAACTCGAGTATGACTTGAAGAAGAATGGATTTCTACCTCAGTTTGTAACCATATAATCATGTAATCTTGTCATGAGAAGAAAGAGGACGAGACTACGAGCGTCTGAGATCAAACGAAACCTGATTTGGAGTCCAAACGAGGGAGAAACGAAGAATCAAAGATAGGGGACCCGGAACTGCAAAATACCCAACCATAATACCCTACCGGGTATTTTGGCCATCTGATAGGGGATTTTTGACAGCATCAGAAGGCCCCCCGGTCGTGAACCAAAAATACCCGACCGGGTAATAAAAATACCCGACCAGGTATTTTCCCTTTTGCCTAGAAGAGTGACCCGGAGCATTTTGTTGATACCCGACCGGTTCCCTAAATACCCGACCGGGTATTTGGACCGGGGGGTCGCGATGCAGGCTGTTAAAAGCCTGTTTTGTGCGTTTTTGCAGGGGAGAGCTGGATTTTGGATCCCAAACACCCAAGGGACGAACCAAAGAGAGAGAGGGCGATTTGAGGGCATTCTTGGAGTGGAATTGGAGGATTTCTTCGCCTTGGAAGCTCGAGGAACAAGCCCGGACTTGAAGACTGGCCATCTGAAGATTCTTACGGCAGTCTCTCTCTTCTCTATGGAGTAACTTCCCTTCACTTAGGTTTTGAGGAACCCTAGCTATGTTTGTTTGATTGGATGATTGTATGAATACTCCTACTTGATAATCTTGAGTTCATATTCAATCTATGCATGTTTTCATGATTCAATTATGCTTTAGTCGAGATTATTGATTCTGCTTTGATCCTATGAGAGCGAATACCTGATTATGTCAATAGAGCACCATAGATTGATAGTATTGGATCGATTGCTTTAGTCGAGGGTCGATTCACTGCTTTGTATCGATTGAGAACCTCTTTGGATAGAGGGAGTCTAGTTCAGAACGCCTTGATCGGTTGTTCTAGAGAAGGATACGTCCCTCTAGGCAATTGACTCAAGAGGGCCTTGTTCCTTTAGTCGAGACTCAAGGTCTAGTTAAGGATTCTCCGCATTGTGAATGAAAGTGAAACATGTTAGAGATCATCAATCATTAATCTGGCTAGTGGCTAGGGCGAATCATACCTAAGTGAGTTCCCAACCTGTAATTAGATTAACTTTAACTATAGTTTGCTAGAGTAGTTTTAGTTGTTCTATCTTAATCTGGTTTGCTAGATAATGAACTGAAGCTGAGTAATAGTAACTCTAGAGACCCGTGGATTCGATATTTATTACTTGAGCCACTATACTGCAGTCCCTTTCATTGGTTACACTTGGCCTTTGTTAGGAGTTGTGTCATAGTGAGTCAGTAGCCAACAATTAATTTCGTTCTTTAAACTTTTATGGCGAAAACAGTCTTCGATTCAGAACCGTCGCGGCCATAGAAGAAATCTGACGACGAAGAAATTTGAACCACCGCCGACACCCTTCCAGATTCCAAGATGCTTCAATCCCAGCCCAAATTTCACTCTTTCGTCTCCATCCTTCGTTGTCGCCATCAACGGCCTGAGAACCTTTTCCCCATACATTCCCTCTTAACACCATCTCCGGCGGCGGTGGAGATCGTTCCTTCTCCTCAAGAGATCAGCAGGGATCAAAGGCCATTGTTCTCTACTCCGGCGAAAAATTCTTCTA